ACTAAGTAGTTTACTAACAAATACATTAAAGCCTTTCTTAAATATTTTATGAGATGTCTATAGTATGATGAATTTAACTTTACAAAACGAACCTTGAATATCACACGAGTTGTATACTGAAGTCTAAAACAGAAAATGTTTTAAAATATAAGAATAACGAATACGATATTAAATATTACCATAACGCATCCGAGTTTAAAATATTACCATAACGGATATGACATTAAAATATTACCATAACGCATCTGATATTAAAATCTTACCGTAACGCATACAATATTAAAATCTTACCGTAAAGCATATGGTATTAAAATATTACCATAACGCGTCCGATATTCAAATATTATCATAACATATACGATATTCAAATATAACCATAACGCATACGATATTAAAATATTACCATAACGTATCCGATATTAAATTATTACCATAATGCATCCGATATTAAAATAAGATATCACCATAACGCATACGATACGTATCCGATATTATAATAATTCCATAACGCATGCAATATTAAAATAATACCATAACGTATCCGATATGGAAATATTACTATAACGCGTCCGAAATTAGAATACTGCCATAATGCATCCGATATTAGAACATTACCATAACGCAGCCGATATAGAAATTACTATTTAAATATCACCATAACGCATGGAGTATAAAAATATGTTTATAAAAATGAAATGAAATGAAATGTGGTTTAACGTCCTACTGTTTTGCTCCGAACTGGGCTAATGAAGACGGGCATACGCCATACAGTGTGGTATGAGGGAAATTTTGCCCTAACAGCGGCACTACGGCCTACTCTTATATCGAATTCCAACTGCCAAGGGATCTTTTACGTGCACGGCAATGTGTACAGGTTTTTCGTCCCATCCGAACGACTAGACAGCTGTCCTTGTCAGACCCTCCGTTCTGCATCACTGACAAGGGGAAACCACGCCGGAAAATCCCGATGAACTTTCTCGGCCAATGCAGGGATCGAACACGTGACCTCCAGGCTAGCGAGCCAACGTCTTACCCACTTAGCCACGTGATACCCATGTTAATAAAAGCATAACGTATTAAAGTATAGATCAGATATGTTTAAAACGCATGACGATAAATCATATTACCTTAAAGCATTACTGAGAGAGAGAGATGGGGTTTAACGTCCACTTAACACAAACTAGGTCATTTCGGGACTAAAATATAGTTCAATTTGATTTCAATAATTCGCTTGTGCGTAGCGGTCTTTAGCAGGGGGGGGCGGAGGACCCGGAGAAAACCCACGAGGTTGTACAGGCGATCCTACTCCTTGTCATTAGCTATTAGCTATAATATGTATATAAAATATTACAATAATGCAGACGATGTTTCAACAGAATAACAACAAATCTATGTATAAAAAATTACTACAAAGCATTCTATTACCATATTAGGATAATATTCGATAAAATCAATATAAACAATAAAATACAAAGTCGTTAAACTTATCCACGGCCATTTTAAGGGTAATATACATGTACTTGTACTAATAAAAGGGCCGTGTATACCACATTGACTGTAGCTGAGGAGATACCTATATTGGGGCAACACGAGTCCGTCTTAAAGTCTCTAACTCAGTGTCATCCAAAGTCTCCGACATTGAAAAAACGAATTATTTGTAAATTATAATAACATTGATGTTGTGATCTTGCCAGGAAAAGATGCGCTTCTGATATCCAATATTGAAGACAATTAAAATAAACATTTTATCATTGGTACACGAATCGTCTACCATAATAAGTTTCACCGCCATTTGTAACAAGGGACTTAAAGAACGAGGCTACACATATTCCACAAGTCATGTTAAATATTGACGCCATATTGTAATCTGGAGAGCATGCGCAATAAATACTATCGGTGTTGACTGGAATAACCAGACGCTAGAGATCGCCATTCGATTAAGACTCCTGGCGTATTTTGCCGAGCATAATTGATTTGAAATTAAAGTAAAAAACGGAAACGATTAATTTAAATCAGTTTATATACATTCATATTATATTATTATATACTTTGCGGTCCATTTGTATCAATTTCTAGGTCCCCTATATTAGTGACTTAGCTCCTTTAACAAACGGTTCCCTCCAACAGTGACTTGGCCGTCGCCACCTAAGCACAGTCGTTATAAAAGGCAATAAAACATATATTTCATAATCAGCTTCGAAAAAAACGGAAATTGTGATTTGTGCTAACTCAGTGTATTTCGATTGTAACTTTTCACAGTGGACGGAGCTCTTGTTGTCCGGGCTCTCTTATTCCTGATTCGGACCGCTATGTCCAAAGGGCAAGCGGAACGAAATATTTTTCCTTCTCCATTGAACACAACATTCGAATAATATAGTGAATGTAGCTATAAATATTCCTATAAAGACTACATAGAAGGAGCTTTGTATATCAATAAGTTCTATGGTTGTAGCTTTAGGTGTTGGTATATTACATATACCAGATCCTGGCCACCAGTCTCTTTTTAATATTTCACCAAGTCCACTCTCCATTATCTTCATGGTTCTAAAACAAAACAAAAAATAATCTGTTAACAACGTGAGAGAGGGAGAAGGTAGGTTTAACATCGAATCAACACAAACTCGGTCATTTCGGACATACAATTAATTCAATAATTCGTTTGCGCGTAGGTCCCGGGGAAAACCCACAAGGTTGTGCACGCGATCATACTCCTTGTCACGCATAGGATAGCGGTCGAAAACACGCCGCTTGACTCAGTGAGATATCTTATGATCTAAAGCGCATGCGTTAGACCACTCGACCATTCCATCCCGCCTGTTAGACCCGTCAATTACACAATGAAAATCGGTTATCATGTATTTACTTACTCATCAGAGAAATGCTGTAAATACGGAGATTTATTTTGTAATCCGAATGCATAATTGACCGGAAAGAAGAGTTCTTTTAGATATGTCAAGTCACAGGATTTAAAGACCCATGCTTCTGCTGTCGTCTTGTCAGCTATCATCCCATAGTTTTCACTGACAACTTTCTGATGATGAAGAGACTGATTTAGTTGTAGAACATCCGGGTCAGTTTTGTTGAATTTCTGTATACCTTGCCATAATCGTTGATACACGGATAAATTGGAATCCTGAAAATTCATTATTGAATTTTAATTGATTTATATTTTGTTAATTTGAATCTGTATATGGTGATATTAATCTGTACATTGTCGAATTTACCCATGTTTGACAGGCTGAAGTGCAGGGCCTGAAGATAAAGAGGCCTCGGGGGGCGGGGTTATTTTAAGAAACTGTATAATCAGAGAGAGAGAGAGAGAGAGAGAGAGAAAGAGAGGGGGGGGGGGAGGGGGTATTGTCCAAACTATAGGTCATTTCGGACTACCATATGGTTCAATTTTATTTCAATAATTCGCTTGCGAGTAGGGGTCTCTAGTAGTGAGAGCAAACCGGATAACCCAGAGAAAACCCACGACCCAACTCCTTGACACCCACAACCGGGGAATCGAACCAAGCCAGTTGACTCAAAGACAGACCTAATGATACAATGCGCACGCGCTAACCATTCGGCCATCCAACCCACCCCCCTCGTAAGGACTTCCTTTTATCTCAATCGGGCACTGGTTTTGTGACATATTGAATTACATACGAGGTGAGAGAACTCATTCGGTGACGCTAAGGTCTGAAGCTGGATGGAACCAAGATGGCTGACTAACAATGGCTGTGGTTCAGTAACCAGAACGTTTAATCCTGGGGTTAGTCGAGAATGTTCCTCGGGAAGTTCCTCAATCAATCTGATTAAAACACAGATCCTATTTCGTTTCGTTTTTACAGTTCAAAATTTCGTTTTACTTGTCTTTACTACACTTGGATCTGGAAGAGTTGTTTTTTAACTCGTGTTCTGAATGATGTCTGTCACGGCGAGCTTTAGGCGTGTTTTGCACGAAACTGTGGGTAATCCACTAGTAACATCAATGCTGATTGGTTAATCAAATGTCTGACATCATAGGGTCATAAGTCAGTCTTTTGACCCCTGATGTGACCTATCGCTATAACTTGTCAGATCTTCATGTAGTGTAGGCCAAGGAAAGTATAAAAAACGAAACGAAATATAGATCTGTATTTTAATCAGATTGTTCCACAATAACAGTTTGCAAATGATTAAAAAAATCCCTAAAAGCAGTGGGTTAAGGTTAAGTCTAAACAGGAAGTACTTAATCGGGTCTAAACGGGAACTTCATGAATAATCGTGTCTAAACATGAAGTTCATGAATAATTGTGTCTAAACAGGAAGTACTTGACTCGTTGAATCATAAACAAGAGTTACTTGAATAATCGTGTCTAAACAGGAAGTGCTTTACTGATCGTGTCCAAACCGGAAGTACTTGACTACTTGACTGACCGTGTCTCTAAACCGGAAGTACTTGACTACTTGACTGACTGTGTCTCTAAACCGGAAGTACTTGACTGACCGTGTCTCTAAACAGGAAGTACTTGACTAATTGGGTGTATAAAAAGCATACCTGAAGTAACGAAACCCAAACACTTCCTCCCAATGTTCCCCATTTATACTCATCTTGTTGTCCCAGCTCAGCCAGTGTTTTAAAGGGCAAATCTTCCTTAGATATAGTTAAAGATGCAATAAGAATACCGCTATAACTGGCCACTGTTATCAGTGAAAATATCCACCAGCAAGCTACTAATGATCTACCCGATGTTGATGAAGATAAGCTTGGTCCACCTGGTAAAACAGAGAGAGAGGAATGGGGTTTAATGTTCACGAAACACATACAACGTCATTTCGGGAGTAAGATATGGTTCAGCTCTCTCTCTCTCTCTCTCCCTCTCTCTCTCTCAAATAAATTTGTCGGTTACATATTGTGAATTTAATAAGATAGATCTTCGGTCAGCCATGGTCGTCAAACCAACTCATTACTAGATACATTGAAAAATACTATGAAACGTAACCGCTAGCTGAAACAAAAACATACCTTGCGTTAAGAGCGCACCAAACATGTATAGTATAATGTTTTGAAAGGTAGGTCGTTCTTCGTGGAGTTGCGTGTAGAAAGGGTTCAAACTTTCTATGATGAAATGAAATACGGTGACGAAAGTCAGAGAAGCAAAAACACAAGCGTGTACTTCCCATCTGAACGGTTCGATTAATTTTCTCCATTTATATTTGTTCGGGTCGGGTTTCCGGAAAACAACTACGGAATAGGCCTGGAAATAAGGGTAGCTGAAATCCATAACTTCTTCCCGATCTGATGAAATGGCCAATGGTCCACAAAACAGATCAGCTTCCTGCAACAAACAATAACAAGTGAAAAAGAATGGGGTTTAACGTTTTAGTTTTCTGTATAAGTCGTGGCAATGTAGACGGGCATATTCCATATAGTGTGCTATGAAGGAACTTTGGTGATGACAGCGGCGTTACCAACTACAGGCAAGGGCGCTCGTGAGTGTATTGCAAAGAGTAGACGGGGTTTTCGTCCCTTCTGAAAAACTAACCATTTTTCACTTACCCCTTTTTGTAGCTGAGCAACTGCCCCCGTCCATGTTTTATTTATTATTCTTCCCCATTCACCATCCTCGGGTTCCATTAACGTAACACTTGTAAATAGAATAACAAAACACGTTAAAGTGTAGCGTAATAAAAATACGTAATATTTTAACGTAATAAGAATGCATAATAATTTAGCATAATGAGTGTACGTAAAATTTTAATGTAATAAGAATAAGTAATATTTTAACGTAATAAGAATACATAATAATGTAATAAGAATTTTAATGTAATAAGAATATGTAATATTTTAACGTAATAAGAATACATAATATTTCAACGTAATTACAGTACGTAAATTTTAATGTATAAAGAATACGTTATATTGTAACGTAATGAGAAGCGTAATGAAAATACGTAACATTTTAACGTACAAAGAATACATTTTTTTAAAGTAATCAGAATACGTAATATTTTAACCTAATGCGAGCACATAATATTTTAACGTAATGCGAGTACATAATATTTTAACGTAATGGGAATACGTAATATTTTAACGTAATGCGAGTACATAATATTTTAATGTAATGAGAATACATATTTTTTTAACGTAATGCGAGTACATAATATTTTAACGTAATGAGAATACGTAATATTTTAACGTAATGAGAGAGAATACATAACATTTTAATGTAATATAATGTAATATGAATAATGAAATATGTAAAATATTAATATATTAACGTAACGGTAATAACGTTATATTTTAAGGGAAGGGAATGGAATAATAATAAAATATGTTATATTTAAACGTAATAGGAATAATGCAATACGCTATATTTTAACGTAATGACAATAATAACACACGTTATATTTTAATGTAGTGGGAACGTTATATTTTAATGTAATGGGAACGTTATATTTTAATGTAATGGGAACGTTATATTTTAAAGTAATGGGAATAATGACACACGTTATATTTTTAATGTAATGGGAATAAAAGCATACGTTATATTTTAATGTAATGGACAATTTCCATCATAACAAACTGCATGGCGTATGCCCGTCTTCATTAGCCACGGTAGGTGCAGAAAATGAGCACGTTGAACACCGTTTCACTCCATCATATGAAAAGATCCCCGTTACTGTCTGCCTGGTACTTATCGTGGCCTACCTAAAGTTTATAGAAGAACTTTCAGTAAATCTTATGAATACCTTCAGACAGTATAGTGCCAGTTATTGCCCGTCTAGTAATGACTGACCTACCTAAAGTTTAAAGAAGCTTGAAGAACTTTCAGGAGATCATATGAATACCCTTCATACCGAATAGTGCCGTTTATTTCTGGCAGTCTGTTTGTAAATGGCAGCCACTGAAAGAAACAACCATTGTTATTACTCCTTGTATGAGAGACAGGGAGAGTGAGTGAGAGAGAGAGAGAGAGAGAGAGAGAGAGAGAGAGACGAACTAGGTCATTTCGGGACTAACATATGGTTCAATTTTATTTCAAAAATTCGCTTTCGTAGAGGTCTTTAGCAGTACCAGGAAACCGATGGACCCGGAGAAAACCCGCGAGGTTAGATAATCGACCCTGTCGAGTGGGTGTTACAGCCCATCGCTATCGTTCTCTCTCTCTCTCTCTGTTAAATGTAGCTAGTGAAATGTGCCTCGAGCTATAATTTTGACGTTTTGATTTCAGGAATATATAGGTTGCCAGACAACAACAACTATGTTATCAGTTTATATCAAAGGGCTATAACTTTCCTTGGAGTATTCTAGAGTTGAGAATTTTCGAAATTGAAGAAAGGGGGTGTGTACTTACAAATAGTGTTGTGGTTCTGAAAACTCTTTGATTAAAACCAAACTTTGTATTAGGAAATATAATAACACCAGGATATAGATTAACATGGTGTGTATAATTAACATGTCCTACTCGACTTAATACTCTTCCTTCTCTTTTATATAATAACGTATATACTTCAGCTCTCCAACAATCACTCAACCTTGTCAGATCCTGTAATACAAGATATAATAACGTATATACTTCAGCTCTCCAACAATCACTCAACCTTGTCAGATCCTGTAATACAAGATATAATAACGTTTATACTTCAGCTCTCCAACAATCAATCAACCTTGTCAGATCCTGTAATACAAGATATAATAACGTTTATACTTCAGCTCTCCAACAATCAATCAACCTTGTCAGATCCTGTAATACAAGATATAGTACCGTATATACTTCAGCTCTCCAACAATAATCAGACCCTGATAATAAAATTAACCAAAATCATAAAGGCGGGACGGGGAGAGTGAGCGGTGAATGGTTAAGTTTGCAACATAACGTTTGACATTGAGTCAGGAGGCTGGGTTTCGATTCCCAGCTTGTGCGTGACAAGGATTAGAGTCGCCTGTCCAACCTCGTGGGTTTCCTCCGGGCCCCCCTGTTTCCTCCCACTACTAAAGGCCCCTACGCGCAAGCGAATTATTGAAATAAAATTAAACCATATGTTAGCCCCGAAATGACTTAGTTTCTTTCGAGTGGACGTTAAATCCTATGTCTGTCTGTCTGTCATAAACACGGTACATGTACTAGTGGTTTATTGACATAGTTTAGAACCTGTAACTTAAATTTAGTAAATTATAGCAACTGAGGGGTAGGGGCCTAATTTTGACAATACCAAACAAACTAAATCACCTGTCAGTACCACAATAACCGGATAAGAGACGAGTGGACGTTAAACCTCTCTTGATTGCCTCTCAAATTTTTATCACATGCAATCTAATTACATCTTCCGCGATGTAACTGTTTTGGCAAATCAAATCGAAAATCATTTTTTTACCAGCTACACTAGACATTAGAAATTCTGAGGTTCGTGTTATATTTCTGGAAAGGATATGTCGACATAATTACTTTCATTATTTAACAATAACATAATATAAACTATTTCTTACTTTTTTTACTTCCAATTAAAAATTTCTTTTTTTCTAATTTCCAATTAAAAATTTCTTTTTTTCTAATTTCCAATTAAAAAATTATTTTTTTTTAAATTTCCAACTAAAAATGTATTTTTCAACTTTACAGTTTCAAATTTATTTTTTTTCAATTTACAATTAAAAATTTATTTTCAATTTACAAATCAAAATTTATTTCAATTTACAAATCAAAATTTATTTATTTTCAATTTACAATTGATTTTCAATTTAAAAATCAATTTTTTTTTTTCAATTTACAAATCAAAATTTATTTATTTTCAATTTAAAATTCAAAATTTATTTTTTAATTTACAATTTAAGAAAATTATAATTTTAAACTTAATGTTCTTAATTTAAAGATTAATTAAGAAATATTTCGTAAGCTTTCGTATTCGTATTCGTAAATCTCCAAATATTAACTTACAACTCAATCTGGTTAAAATACAGATCTATATTTCGTTTCGTTTTGTTATATTTTCGATGACCAACACTACATGAAGATCTGACAGGTTGTAGCGATAGGTCACGTCAGAGGTCATACGAGCGGCTTTTGACCCTATGACGTCAGATATTTGATTAACCAATCAGCATTGATGTTTCTAGTGGATTACCCACAGTTCCGTGCACCTTATGTCAAAAGCTCGCCGTAACAGACCGTTTCATTGGCTAATCCCTCATATCATCCAGAACACGTCAATGATAACAACTCTTCCAGATCCTCGTGCAGTAAAGACAAGTAAAAGGAAATTTTGAACTATAAAAAAAACGAAACGAAATATGATCTGTGTTTAACCAGATTGTTTTCAACCTGGAAAACGGGTTTGTCCTTTGCTATGGAATAAACAACCATAGTCAATTCTTGTCAGTGGACCATTTAAAACTCAAAACAGTCGAGGGAGAGAGAGAGAGAGAGAGAGCGAAGAGGGAGAAAAGAAAAAGATAAATGGGATTTTACGCCCACTCGATAGAAACTATAATTCGTTTGCACATAATGTCTTTAGCTTTGGGAGGAAACCAGTGGACCAGGAGAAAAGCCACGGGGTTAGATGGCAACTCTATCCCTTGTCACGTACAAGTGGAGAATCGAAACCAACCAGGTTGACTCAATGACAGAATTTAGGATCTAAAGAGCACGCGTTTACCAATCGAGCACCGCCCCCACCCCCACCACCATCCCCACCCCTCTTACCCAAAGAACAATGAAAGTAAATAAATACTAGTATTTGTTACATGGTGAATTGCATACACCCAAAACATTAGCTGACTACAGGGGTTAGTGGAGTAGAACGGAATGAAACCACTGGGGATACCGAGGATGATTTTTAAACAGCAAAACAGTTATTATAAAATCTCAATCACTTTCACAACATTTAGCATGATTAAACTTTAGCGATAAAATCGCAATACGTTTCATTACCTTCGGCATGATTTAATACCTTCGGCATGATTTAATTTTAGCGATAAACGATTAATGTACATGGATGATAATTCGGCAGCCATTTGTTTGCAACTTAAAAATTTCACTCAACACCATGATATATATTTACACGCACCCCTTCAAACGGTTCTGTCGTACAAATTAATAATTTATATATTTTGTTTGAGAGGAAGGTATTTTTACAGCTACAAAAGAAATTGTGTTGGGTTTTTTTAATGCAAGATGATGCTGGCATACGAATACAAAACACGATGATCTGAATATTATATGACTTGAATTGATATTGCTGTTATGTATTATTATCCTAAAACGTTGGTGGTAAATATCATATGACATACGAATACAAACCACGCTTGTGTGAATATTTCATAGTTTGATTTTCTATTGTTGCTATGTCGAAAAGTGAAGGAACTATAAATCAACATTGCTATGCATAGTGCCTCAGGTTTTTTTTAAAAAAAGATAATGTCCCGCTATTTGATCAAGCATAGGTGGTCACCCTAAATAGGGCCCAAAGCGCTACTCGTCTTATTGGGGGGTGGCGCTCTTCGAAAAAAAATGAGGCTCCGTCATTTCAAGTGCGATCTACATAAAACTGGGCATGCTTGTTTCTTTGACAATAGTGCTTCGATTAACAAACTTTGACATCCGATATGGCGTCATAATTCCAAGATGGCCGCGATGACGTCATACTTGGATCCTGGTCCATAGTACTGTCTCACCTTGTTATATTGACAAAAGCTGTCTTTATTGACTGGGAGGGCGGGGGTGGGGATGAATTAAAGATGTCCTTAGGGTGGTGGTTCGGAGTATTAAATATATCAGTGTATTAAATATATTTGATTTTATCTGTAGCTTGCTTCACTGGGCGAATGATGACGGGTGTACGCCATACAGAGGGAAATTTCGCCTGGACTACGGCGCTACGGGCCTATATAAAGAGTTCCTTTACTTGTCCAATGTGTACAAGGAACCTCGACAATCACTATTATTTCAATATGGATAACATACGTATTTCAGGTCTTGAGGAACGTCGCTGTTATTCTTCTGATGTTCTGTGTTAAATTCCACCAAATCATTTACATACTTTTGTATCCCGTTGATGAAAATCTGGAAAAAATATCATGTTTTATAATAGACGGACCTTGACAAAAGGAAATAACGATTTGAGAGCATAACGCCGTATTCGCTCGGAAATCAGGGCTTTAAATAAAGCTAATTTAGTAAAATAATAATTTACCGAGAAGAATGTAAAAATAGTTACCGGACATTGAGATTAAATTTCGGGTACATGTTAGCTATGTGAACTTATCATATGAGAAGTGATATCAGATGTTAACTATCTGAAGTCCTTAAATGAGAAGTGATATCAGATGTTAGCTATGTGAACCTATCAAATGAGAAGTGAAATCAGATGTTAGCTATGTGAACTCGTCAAATGAGAAGTGATATCAGATGTTAGCTATGTGAACTCGTCAAATGAGGAGTGGTATCAGATGTTAGCTATGTGAACTCGTCAAATGAGAAGTGATATCAGATGTTAGCTATGTGAACTCGTCAAATGAGAAGTGATATCAGATGTTAGCTATGAGAGCCCATCATATGAGAAATGGTGCCAGGTGTTCTATTATAAATATATTAGCCATGTGAACTACCCGAATGAGTAGTATCAGACATTAAATAAAAATAAGCATACTCTGCTTCGTGTGCGGCACCCAAGCAATAGCTAAATCGGGGGAGGTGCATGTTTTCAGACACAAAGGCAATCAACCCAGTTGCTTAAATATCTCAATGAACTAATTTTCTCGAGGGATCTTTGATGTTTACTCTACCACGTCATATGTAATTATCTGCTATCCATGATCTGACCGACTGTATTCTATGGCAGCCAGTTTTCTGAAGGACAAATAAAAGTATATTTTGCTACAGGCTAAATATTAAAAGCTAATTTATTGGTTGCTGTAGACATTACATAGATCAATACAATACCTACTAGTGATTTATTTATGAGCCAATTTACACAAAGGGTTATCCATATTGTCGATATTATCTGTTTCCACACATTAATATTTAATACTTTTTTAAAGCTCATACAAATGCGAAATGGAAACAGATATTCTAGAAATGCATATCTAGACTCGTCCCTTGGCCTCTTGCTTTCTCGCATTTGAATATCCTCACCCCTCAACTTCTTGACTTCTCGCCCCTCGACTTCTTGACTTCTCGCTGTCGACTTCTTAATATCTCGAGGCGAGCTGGGGCGGCGGTGGGGGGGGGGCGAATGGTTAGCGCGTGCACGCTGTATTAATTGGTCGGTCATTGAGTCAACTGCCGTGCTTTCGAGTCTCCGCCTGTCCAACCTCGCAAGACCCCTACGCGCAAGGGCATTATTGAAATAGAATTGAGCCATGCGTTGGTCCCCCTTTCAGTTCCTTTTATTTTTAACACCATTTTAATAAATCGTGGTGTGCATTTGTGTTACTAAATCTTGTTGTTACATTAAGAAATGAAATGAAACGGGGTT